CTTACAAATGCCATACGTAGTTCACAAACCGCTAGAGAGTAATGTGTGTTAGAAAGAGATAGCATTAGTTTAATATGTCTGCTGTACAATTCAAATGGCCACGTCGAAAAAGTACGTCTGTTCTTCTAAGGGATGTCACTCTATAATTATAACCTCAAATCGAAACGTCTTGTGAGCGTTGTCATGAATCTGTTAGTGTTTTCATAAGCCGAAAATGTTTGCTTTGAAAGGAAAATCAATATCTTTGACAATGTTTGACATATAACCTCCATTACTAACATAACCTACATTTAAATGTATGTGGTGAAATAATCTAAGTCATACGTCCATATCTTGATTCATACCATTTTTAAGCGATCTGTCACTGCCAGCTCTCGTGGTTTCTACTATAATTAGAGTTTTTCGAAAAATTCACACATATCATATCGATATTTAATCTAGTGTGCCATGAATTAACTGGCTAGTGTGACCTAGTGAATAATCAAATGAAATGGGGGTTTGAAAATTTGTAGACTTGTGATATTTGATGCCAGCTTTTTAACTAAAGTATTTTCCGGTTCCGGGTACTTGTGGTTACACCGGAAGAGGTGACAATTTTCATATTTCAAATGCTGGCATCAAACATCACAAGTCTGCAAATTTTCAAAAGGCCACTTCATATGGTTATTCACTAGGTCACACTAGGTATTCATGGCACACTAGGTTAAACATCGATATATGTGTGCATTTTTCAAAAAACCCTAATTATCTCCCAAACTATAAATGTTAGGTATAGGATATATAGGATATAAAAGATGTAACATGAGACACCTAACACGACTAAGTAATAAAATATGGGGGGTGCCATTTAAAAAAATTAAGTTATGGTACATCCAAATTTCGAAAAATTAACATGCCGTAGTAAAGTGACCAAACTTTCTAGACAGTCGTACTCGACACTAAAACATACTCCATCATATTGCTTACGCATGTTCTCAATCCTAAATTGATATCCCAAAAATCGAGTGTTCTCTGATTTGTTGAACAAATGTCTGCTGGAGCAGATTTTTCTAGAAAAATTCGAATAACTCGAGAACGGCGGAATCAAATTGCAAAAAGTAAAGTTATTCATAAACCTTGAAAATAGACAAACACAAATATGTAAAAATATATAGGGTGTTCCATTTAAAAAAATAAAGTAGGCGGCGACTTCCGGTATAACCAGAAGTGTTAGATATCTGAAAATATTTTAGTCGAAGAGAACGCAATTGATAATACTTAAATCTGAATTTTCAAATTTTTGTTTTGGCCAGAACCCTGTAAAGTTCTAATGGACGGTCGTCGTGGATGACCCTGTATATTGTTCTCTTACGAAGAAAAAATAAAAAAGAAAAAAGAAAATTGTTTTGTAAGAAATCCATATGAGACTGTTATAGTATTAGAATATAAACAATTATAAAAACCAAATGGGCCTCAAAGTCTCAATTTATNTTCTCGGCGACTTTTTTCCGGTAAGTAGAACAGTCTTTCTTTGTATATGTTGTTTCTAATCTGGTTTTTTCATTCCTATAGCTCCTTCTATTTTAAATTTCAATTTTTGTTGGTAAACATAACTTTATTTTTCGAACGTTTGTATGATAACATCTACAATAATTTTTTATCATTCGTGTCCTATTATTCAGCACTCACTGCAATAGATTTTAACGTTCTTTTCATCAAACGATGTAAGTGATTTTTATTAAAATAAAATAAATTAATTTATGAATCTTTTTTTATCAAGATGTCTCAAGACGGTTTTAGTCAAATTGATTTAACTGCTCCGGGTTTCGTCAGCAACCAGGAGTCATTCCTGTTAAACAGTTTTGACATAAACCTGTTGAACATATCGACTGTTGAGAAGGCGCTGGATCCAAACGTGCAGCTTAATGAGCAGCCGATGGATCCAAACGTGGAATCTAATACGCAACAAGATCCATCGCTTCTGAACATCGCAGGTTCCACGAATGTTGACGATATGAATGTAAAACGCCTTTTTCTTCGTCGGAATTCTGGGAACCGTGAACATTGGAAGGACACTGCAGGTTTGTGGTTACCGTCAGAAAAGTATAGAGAGGAAAGACAAGAAAGAAGGGAGGCACGTGCTCGTTCGCGACGTAGCCAACGCAAGTATGTGTCAGTTCAACCAGCGACCCCGTCGAAAGTTGAAATGACACAGTCGAAAGTGGTTACCGAGAACGAGTCCGATAAATCCGACGACTCTCTTGCTTTAAAAGCGCTATCACAACACTGTAGTACCTGTAAACCGGAAATATCTTAAAGCTACTAAGGCTTCTTCTTTTTCTTCTAAAGCTTCGTTGGCTCCTGTTCCCGTTACTAACTCAAATATCCCTAACACCGAAATTCCTTCGTTAAGCCCGAAAGTACACATCTTAAGGGTGGACAATATTCCTGCTACTTCAGATATTTCCGATGTGTCTGCCAGCCTTTTTTCAAACGCAATGTGTACAGCAGTCGAAACTACCAAAGGGGTGATTTTAGCCGAAATTAATAGCTTATATCAAAATTTTTATAAAGACCTTCATGAAAAGGTTCGTCAATTGCAAACCTCTTTGAGAGAGCTTTCACAGTTTAGAGAAGGGCTGGCGTCGAGCTGTAACAATTCTTTAACAATACCGCTCGACATCACCAACATCATTAACCTGTGAAATTAAAAAGGCTGAATCTATTTTATCTAGTTTCACTACTAATAGCGTAAACTTCCCTTCCTAGCTTAAAGATGGCTGCTAACATAAGAGTTAATCACATGATTAGATTGTGCGAATTGGAGCAGAAAGTTGCCGCGTTGGAGGTGAAATTAGAGGCTCTATTTAAGTTGGTACGTTATACTTATAATACTTTTTTCCATGTCATTAATTTTATCTTCTCAGCTGCAGAGCGTGTCAGAGTCGGCAGTGGTGAGGGGCGAAATACATGTTCAAAACATGCACAATAACCACTGCACCACAGCCGTTAGTTCACCGACTCCGGCAAGGACTCCGGCACCAGCATTATCAGCCTTATGAAGAAACGAACCAAATACTTCAAGAAAAAGAGGAGGAGTGGTAGCTACTCCTTCTCCTCTTTTTATTAAGTTAATTATTAAGTTAATTATTAGGTTAAATTGCTATTATTTTATAGTTATAGATCAATATATTTTATGTATCTATATAAAGTTACTTTTGCTATATTTTTATTCAGTCTTATCCTGTTAATGTCATAATTTATTTAGTGCGAGAATCATGATCGATAAGAAAGTAAAGTGTTTACCGCAACCGCTAACACTGCCAATACTAAATTTTAGTAAAGGTACCACCGAAGAACATTTTACAAGACACAGTAATTTATTTGGTGGAAAATGTAAGCGAGGTTTAATTGTAGGACCCTCTGGTGTCGGAAAAACAAATGCTATGTTATCGCTTTTACTTGCACGTAATGGCCTCCGCTTCCTAAACTTATACTTATGCTCCAATTCGTTATACCAAAATAAGTACGATTTTTTAAGACGTTTAATTGAACCTATAAAAGATTGCGGTTACTATGAATTTTCTAATATAGACGAGTTCATTCGACCGGAAGATGCGAAAGAATATTCGGTAGTCGTATTTGACGATGTTTCCTGTACAGGTCAAAATGTCATTAAGGAATTTTTTTCGTATGGTCGACATAAAAACATTGATTGTTTTCTAATTTGTCAAAGTTATAGTGCAATTCCAAAACAATTAGTTCGCGATAATTGTAACTTTTTGGTGTTATTTAAACAAGACTTAACAAATTTAAAACACGTATTTGAAGATCACATAATGAGCGATATGGAGTTTCATCGGCTAAAGGAAATTAGCGATGCTTGTTGGGAGAATAGACACGGCATCCTAGTTATTGATTTAGATTGTAGTGTATCTAAGGGACGTTACCGTAAGGGTTTTGATAAATTCATTGAAGTTTAAAACTAACGACTTCAGCTGTACAGTTCGTAGTAACTTCACATACATCATACAATGAACAAGACGATAGCTGCAGAACTTATCGCGGCACGAGAAGTCGTGAGAGACAAAATTCGTTCTTTAAAAGAAGACTTAGAGGAGTCAAGGATTCGGTCGGAAACCGCATATGCACCCATCGCAAGGCCCTTACAGGATATTGTCGCAAAACTTGACACTGCGCCTTTACTATCCATTCCAAAACGAAGTTTATCTCCAAAAGNATAAAGTGGATCTAAAGAAAATCGTGGAAACATCTGTTAGTATCGAAGTCAGCAATGTCGTTCATAAGTATATTCTCTTTTTTGTGTAGACCTATATTATATTCCTCATAAAGGTTCAATTCGTTTGACTTCTTTAGATTTATAATCAGTTTGACATTTTGAAATTGTATTCTGTGTTTTTGTTCTTGTATGTGTTTATGAACGGCTGATCTTGAACTGGACAAATGTTCTTTGAACCGAGTGTATATATTTCTTCCCGTTTGGCCGATATATATTTTATTGCATTCCGGACATTCGATTTTATAAACACCACTTAATTCCTCTTTTCTATGTTTGGCTTTATTATTAATTAAAAAATTGCTAATTTTGTTATGAGATACAAAAGCAGGGGATAAATTATATTTTTGTAAATTGTGGTTCAGTTTATTTTCTAAAATAGGGTGAAATGGGAGTATTAAGAATTTTGAGATGTTTTTTATATTAGGAAAAATCAAGTTGTTAATTCTAGAACTATGGACCTTATTATAGATATTTTGTAAACTGTTTATAGAGTAGCCATTATTCATACCAATAGTAATTATCTTCTTGATTTCTATTTCTAAGTTATTTTGGTTCAAAGGGATGTTATAAATTCTGTTAAACATGAATCGAAAACTGGCATGTTTATGCTGTCTAGGATTATACGAATTGTTGGCAATGACATTGTCCGTAAATGTGTCTTTCCTGAAGATATTAAATTCAAGTTTTTGATTACAAAGATTCTTGGTAATGTTTAAGTCTAGAAAGTTAATCATGTTGTCTTTTTCCATTTCGATAGTGAACTCTAAGTTGGTAATATTATTAAAGATATTCTGTAATGCTATCAGATTGGCGGGATTACCTTTATAAACAATTAGTATATCATCAACATATCGAGTATAAAAAATGATATCTTTTGTGAAAAGCTTATATTTGTTAGAAAAAAGTATCTGTTCAAATTTGTTGACATATATATCTGCAAGGCTCCCAGATATTGGAGAGCCCATGGGTAATCCATCGGACATTTTACAAAATCTATTATCAAATGTAAAGAAATTTTGATTACAGGTAAATTCAAGTATTTTTAAGAAACTGTCAATTTCCAAGCGGTCGAGATTTAATTCAATGATATTATCTATAAGGTGTTTTTTAATAATTTGGATGGTTGGAGTGATGGGTATGTTTGCATATAAGTTTTTGATGTCAAAAGAGATCAATTTACAGTTATTGTCGATATTCAAAGTAGATAGTTTATTTACAAGTTCGGTGGAATTTCTGATAGAATAATAAGGGAAAGTGTTTTTGAAAGTTGTATACAGAAATCTTTGGATAGTTTTCGCAATTTTATTAGTTGGTGTATTATTATTCCCAATTATAGGTCTTATGCTTTTGTCCTGCTTATGTAATTAAACATTTCATAGAGGGTATAAGAGGGTTCATTTCGAAGGAGTTATGGTGATTAATACCAAATTCATTTAAAAAAGGCATATTATCTTTAACTAGTTTTTTCAATTTATTATTATATGGGATCGTAGGGTTATTCTTGATTTCTGTTATAAAATTAAGAGCAAAGAAATTTTCAGTCTTGTTTACATATTCTATCCTGTCTAGAATGACAGTGCCAGCTCCCTTGTCACCAAGAGTAACTATCAAGTTATTTTATTTTGTGTTTGAGGGCATTGAGTTTTTTGTAAGTATCGTTGGTAAATTTCTTTGTGTAATATGGTTCATTAAAGTTATTATCAATGTCTTTAATTAATTTACTGTTATCTTTAAATATTTGATGTATGTTATGATTGTATAGTAGTTGGGCCTCAATCGTTATTGCTAATTTATGTCCTAGTTCGAGAATCTCAATGTCATCTGTGGACAAAGGTATATCGCTCAAATTAGTGTAACGTGGGGCAAAAGTATACATATTTATCCCGATCATTATAACTTATAGTAAGTTGGGGTTTATCTATGTTAAATCTTTTTACAAAGAATATTTTATTATTTTGAACATCGTTATTTGGGTTATTTAAACTCAACTGTAGGTCGTACAACGCAAAATAACGGTTAACCAGGGGTTAACAGTGAACCTACTGTCAACCGTACATTATAAAACCGGCCCTTAATGTTCCAAATTTCACATTATTAGCTTTTTTTCAGTGAAGGGATGTTTTTTGATTATAATAACTGATCTTATCTTTAATTAGCCTATTTAGTTTCTTAACTTTAACTTCCTTACTCCTTAAAGTGTTGAAATAGATATAATCTTCAAATATCTTTATCAAATCCTCGTGTTCGATATAATGTAAATATATAAATATATTATTAAAAATTAATTATAAATATAAATAAATATATTTAAAAATTAAATTAGTAAATTTAAATTTAGTAAATTATAAATATATTTGAGATATAAATCTCGTCAAAACCAAAAAATTCCACTTTCAATCGGTTCCATACGATTAAACTAAAGAGTTTTTATTTTTAACTCCGTCTAATACGAATTTTTTAAAATATAGTTTTAGTGATAGTTTTATTTAATTTAACGCTTAGTGAGTTTTCTTTTCCAAATTTTAACCCGTTTTACTTTCTAATATTAAGCCATTTGTTTTTAACATTTTTAGTTTTAACCGTACAAATTTTGCTGTCAAATATTTCAACCTGATGATTTGTTCTTCAATCGACAACTCTTGACGGTAAATTTAATTTTAATTTGTTTGTTTTTTTTTTTCTAATTAACTAATGTCTTAATGAAACTTATTTTTACTCTGTCTCTAGTCGTGCCAGATGAAGATCGCATAGTTCGATCGAAACACGTGTAGCACCGAAAATAAAAATTAAATATATTTTTCATCGTCTCTGAGACTTCTTATTTTTCAATGTTTTTATGCCGACCATATGAAAAAAATTCCTTAATGACTAGGGTTCGGAATACCGGGATCCCGACCGATTTTTGCCAAATTTTAATACCGGTATTTTTTTCACAATACCGGTATTTTTCGGTATTTTCGTATTTTTATAAATTTTTATTTTCCGTAAAATTAATGATGCAATATCATCACTAACACCTGTCAAATTAGCAGTGGAGGCTTTATGTCGAAGAGATGCAAATCTCTTAACGGCAGATGTAGCTGTAACATTTATGATAGAAACTCTTAAAGAATCAAATTTCCCAATTGCAAAACTTACATAATACTTTATTACAGAGACTATTAGAACGTCACTCAAGTTTGTCTCAAGTATTACAATACCTACATAACAATANTTTTACTGTCAAATATTTCAACCTGATGATTTGTTCTTCAATCCACAACTCTTGACGGTAAATTCAATTTTAATTTGTTTGTTTTTTTTTCTAATTAACTGATGTCTTAATGAAACTTATTTTTACTCTGTCTCCAGTCGTGCCAGATGAAGATCGCATAGTTCGATCGAAACACGTGTAGCACCGAAAATAAAAATTAAATATATTTTTCATCGTCTCTGAGATTTCTTATTTTTTAAATAATTTTACGATGAACCTGGAAATAACACTAACCAAAATAAAAACATTGATTGCTTTCTAATTTGTCAAAGTTATAGTGCAATTCCAAAACAATTAGTTCGCGATAATTGTAACTTTTTAGTGTTATTTAAACAAGACTTAACAAATTTAAAACACGTGTTTGAAGATCACATAATGAGCGATATGGAGTTTCACTGGCTAAAGGAAATTAGCGATGTTTGTTGGGAGAATAGACACAGCATCCTAGTTATTGATTTAGATTGTAGTGTATCTAACTAAGGGACGTTACCGTAAGGGTTTTGATAAATTCATTGAAGTTTAAAACTAACGACATCAGCTGTACAGTTCTTAGTCACTTCACATACATCATACAATGAACAAGACGATAGCTGCAGAACTTATCGCAGCACGAGTAGTCGTGAGAGACAAAATTCGTTCTTTAAAAGAGGACTTAGAGGAGTCAAGGATTCGGTTGGAAATCGCATATGCACCCATCACGAGACCGTTTGTCGCAAAACTTGACACTGCGCCTTTACTATCCATTCCAAAACGAAGTCTATCTCCAAAAGAAGAAAAGTTGATATCTAAGATACAACGTTACTCGCCGGATATTTCTGACGTACCAGCTAAAACCGAGACCGAATATTTTATTCGAAAACCGAAAGTTCCATTAAAAGAACAGCGACAAAAATTTGCTGCATCGACTCCTGAAAAAAGGTTGGTATCTTCTCCCACGTCTTCTTCTCTTGGTCCATTAGCTCATGCAGAAGAAGAAGTATATGAAGTTCCGCCGGGCGAAGAAAAAGAACTCCTCGATTCTAGCGAGGATACCGGAGCTCTTATTTCGGACGCACATAATCGAATAGAACGACTTAAAGATGAAATGAGTATAAAATTCATGCGATTTAGGCCCACTTTTACCACCTCTTGATAAATTTATCCGATAGATAAATCCAGCTCTTAACCAATGAGAACGTTTAAAACCGCCGTAACCATGGCAACTATCCTCTAGATAGTTTATCAGGAGGATGGTAAAAGTGGGCCTTAGTAGTTTGAACATATCCGACGCATTATTTATGCTGAGATAAGTTTGAAAAATCAGTAACAAAATTTTTTTTCCTCTTTGTAACTTGATCCGAGGACATACTGTATATAACAGGTATACAGGTGATCCAAAAAACCGCTGACAGACTTCTAGAGTTCTAGAGATAATACATGAAAAATTAAGATGAATAGTCTTAATATGCATGGGGTCACAAATGCGTCGTTGGCAAGATATAGTGGATAAAAGTTTCTTTAAAATTAAACATTATCTGCAATAAAAAGCACTTTTTTAAAAATATTGTCTACGCCACTGCTCTCTACGTGTGTAAAGTGATCAATTATCTAACAATTGGTCTGTTACAAAACTTTGATCAAAGCAGTAGTTTTTAAGAAAAACACGTTCGTAGAAAATTTCAATATCAAAGTTTTGTAAGAGACCAATTGATAGATCACTTTACACGAAAATACTGCAGGTTTGACAAAATTAGCAGTGGAGTTGAAAATATTTTTAAAAAAGGGCTATATCTCGTTAAGGAGGCATTTGCAGCCCCATGTATATTAAGACTTTTCATCTTAATTTTTGATGTACTACCTGCTCTAGAAGTGTCAGCGGTTTTTTGAATCATCCTGTATAAACTAATTTATCGCCCAAATTTTGAACACAACCCACTGTAGATTCTTGTTATAACAATAAATTAGGTTCGAATGAAATAAAACAACCTATTTAAATAATTAAATATTATTAAGCAAATATGATATTACAACAAATAAAGATGAACAGTAAATAAACACGTAGATCTTGTAAACATTAAATATTCGACGAAAACGGTTTTAATAACAAAAGCAAAAAAGAAAATCAAACGGTTATATTCCGAAAGTGTTTTCGTTTAATGAATAATAAATGGTACGATAATTTCCGTTCATTATATGGGGGAGGTAAGGGATCGAAGCGTTATGAAATGTTCATATCAATACAAATCGGTGCTTTGCAACTACACAAACGCTACATAATCATCTTACACTAGCTAAATATTTTATTTTACCATAAAAACTTTTTAAGAAACAAACTCATCACAGAAGCCTGCAGCGATTAATATTATTATTTTTTTGAACAAATATTTCGGTTTACATTTTTTTAAACATAGCTTGATTAATGGAATTACTAAGAATTTCCATTTATTAAGCTGTGTGTGTAATAAAATCGGTGGTCCAATTTGAATTGATTAATAATGATTAATAATGTTGATTAATTGATATTATATTTTGAATATGGACTTTTTTCTGTATAATCGCTGCGTAAAGCACAATATTCCTTCAAATCGCATTCGTACAACATACATACATTCGAAAAAGGCAGCACAGCGGCAATTATTTATTTAATTTTTGTTCTGTTTCATTACAGTACCATGATATAGTATAAACACAAGATATTGTTATCGTTATTGTATTATTATTTAATTTTTATTACACGCAACTTTTCGTTCTTGGCATTATTTTCATACTTTTAAAAAATCAATCGAACTCCAACCTCATCGTATAACAACTTTTGCGGTAGAAAAGTATGTAGTTCTCTACTATTACTTATTTTTGCTTCGTTTTAATCTAAGATTTTATTTATTCTTTTAATGTGGCATTGTGTTCTTTATAAAGCGCTCTTCCTGCCCTTTGCAGATGCTCGACTCTCGAAGCTGGTCAATTGTATTACATATGTTTAATTTTTATAATACCGTTTTGTAATTTTTTTTTATTAGTATTAATTTATCTAAAAGTAAATGACAACAAAAGATAAGCTCAAAAAATGATTTTGTAATAATATTTTTCAATGTTAGTGTAAACTAAAAAATAAATGATGAAATATGAGTGATGTTAAAACGTTAATTAATATAAAGAAAAATAAACCTAAATTAAATTGAAATTAAAATAAAATTGAAATTATATAAAAGTAATAGGGATACGTGTAAAACTACGTGGAACGACCACAAAACTTGGGCCCCATTTAACCAGACGATGCAGTGGTAGCTTGGTTAGCAATAAGATTCGCCTTATTTTGACGAACAGTTTCAGCACGCTTCTCCTATAAATAAAAAATTAAAATAATAAATTATTAAATAACCCTTTTAATCAATTAATTAATTAATAATAAAACAATTTATTAACATTCACCATCAAAACATAACATCAAATTGAAAGCGTACGTACGTTCTTTTTAACCGCATCCAATTTCTTCTGTAATTCTTTTTCCCTTTTTTGTTCGGCAGCTGTCAATTTCGACTCGATTTGGATCGTTTTTTCAGATCTACGGTTATCCTCAACAGACCCAATAGACTGTTTAACCTCTAACAGTCGTTCGTTCTAAATACAAGCAACATTAAAAAAAATTGTGCAAGCTAAGAATAAAATTTTTGAATGAGGCAAATAGAAACCCCCTCTGCTGGTTATAAAAATGAAACGATTGAAAAAAATAATGATAAAAATTAAGCGATACTAACGCATTTTTTTGCCGCCTCGAGCTTTTTCTGTAATTCTTTCTCACGATTTTGTTCGGCCGTCGAAAGCTTTGTCTCGATTTGAGCCGAAAATTCAGTCTTACGGATCTCTTCAGTCTGTTTTATTTCCTCTCTTCTGGTATTCTAAGAAATGTATCAGCGAAATGGATGAAATGGTTTTATAATTTGAGGATAAAAATTAATTCAAGTAGTAAACGTTAAAAATTTTCACAGCTGTCATTATAACTTATGTATAAATCTTCCAGAAACACCAATCTATCTAAGTATTTTTAATTAATTCATTCAACATTTTTTCAATAATAAATTTATTAAAGAGATTATTTTTTATGAAGTACATATTGAAGTACTATATTAAGAGTATATTGAAATCATTCAAGAGATTTTGATGAATTATCAAAAAAAAGATTAATTAATTCAAGAGATTAATTGCAGCATTATTGAAAATATATATAACACACTACTTAATTTACAAATTTTATAACAGACTGTTAATCAAATAATGATAAAACGCACTCAGCAGAAAATTTCATACAAAAGTTGTTCTAAATTAAATTCTAAAACAATTTTCTCAATAAAAAATATATAAAAATATATATAAACATTTTTTTGAGGTTATATTCTTAATTATTGATCAAATCAAAAATTTTTATTAACAATATTTGTTTAGAATGACTTCAGGAACAGTGTTTGTTAATAAAAAATTTTGCTAACTTGAAATTTTAATTTCCCTCTGAATAGTATGCTATCAAAATTAATTATCTCGATAATTATTGTTTTTATCAAAAAATGTTTTAAATAAAATTTGTTTCAATTTCGATTTTGAATCAATTATCTTAATAAAAAAATTTTACATCTCTATTAATTAAGCATCTAAGTATAATTATGTATAAAAACGGAAAAATTATTTTTTTGAGGTTATCTCCTTAATTATTGATTAAATCAAAAAAAATTGTTGACAAAGTTTGTTTAGAATTGTTTCAGGAACAATTTTTGTTAACACAATTTTTTTCTAACTTGAAATTTTAATTTCCCACTGAACAGTATGCTACAAAAATTAATATTTTTGAGGTTATATCCTTATTGTTGATTTAATCAAAAAATGTTGTTAACAAAATTTGTTTAGAATTACTTCAGGAACAGTGTTTGTTAATACAATTTTTTGCTAACTTGAAATTTTAATTTCCCTCTGAATAGTATGCTATCAAAATTAATTATCTCAATAATTATTGTTTTTATCAAAAAATGTTTTAAATAAAATTTGTTTCAATTTCGATTTTGAATCAATTATCTTAATAAAAAATTTTTACATCTCTATTAATTAAGCATCTAAGTATAATTATGTATAAAAACGGAAAAATTATTATTTTGAGGTTATCTCCTTAATTATTGATTAAATCAAAAAAAATTGTTGACAAAGTTTGTTTAGAATTGTTTCAGGAACAATTTTTGTTAACACAATTTTTTTCTAACTTGAAATTTTAATTTCCCACTGAACAGTATGCTACAAAAATTAATATTTTTGAGGTTATATCCTTATTGTTGATTTAATCAAAAAATGTTGTTAACAAAATTTGTTTAGAATTACTTCAGGAACAGTGTTTGTTAATAAAATTTTTTGCTAACTTGAAATTTTAATTTCCCTCTGAATAGTATGCTATCAAAATTAATTATCTCGATAATTATTGTTTTTATCAAAAATTTTTTTTAATAAAATTTGTTTCAATTTCGATTTTGAATCAATAATCTTAATAAAAATTTTTTACGTCTCTATTAATTAAGCATCTAAGTATAATTATGTATATAAACGGAAAAATTATTATTTTGAGGTTATCTCCTTAATTATTGATTAAATCAAAAAAGAATCGATACTAAACAATGAAGTTAGTTATATGTACAATATGAAATTGAAACTTATTACCAACTGTAGTATAAACTTCCGTTTCTTATACTTAGTTTAATATTAATAATTCGTTAACACAATTTTTGTAAAACTTAGTTTAAATTTTAACTGCCGATTAGTTAATCGGACGCTTAAACTATGATTGTAAAACCGGGCCTAAGTCGAATTTCCCTAATTCGAACTAAACTACTATGGAATTTCTTCAACTTTTACTTCTATAAGTCGAATTTACCAAAGAATAAAATATTCGAATCCGCTCTGTAAGTAACTTTAACAACAGCATCAAACCACATAGACTCTAGCTCAGAAACTACAGACTCTTGAACCAAAACAAACCTAATGTTCTTATTGTTTCAGAATCAGATGAGGGTGTTGATAATCTTGAAAATGAAATACTTCTCGCTATGCCTACATTTGATGAAGCTTATTCCTCTCTTAGAAATCTTGAAACCTTTGAATTATCAAGAGAGAATGTTCCAGATAATATTCATAATTCTTTACATTTAATAGAAGATTTTTTCGATAAAGAGCGGTTGTCCACTTTTTCAAACGAAAATTACGGATTACTTTAAAAAACTTGATTAATTTTCTACTTACAATAGTATTAAGGTTTCTGTTTTAAATATACGTATTAGAAAAGTACATTTCTAATTTTTTTCTTTAGAGCTGAAATTCTACTAATTTTTCTCTAACTCGAATTCTCCATAACTCGAAGTTTTCTTCCACTCCCTTAGTGATTCGAGTCAGGGGAATTTCACTGTACTATATTTTAATTAGGTTAACTCCATTAGGTTGCATTCTTCATTTACTTGCATTCCAATATAAAAAAAAGTAACATTTAGTAAACAATTCCATGAAACAAATTTGAATCAAATCAGAAGTAGTATTTTATCAGAACACATGTCCAGGCTTTTTAATAAACACTATCATGTTAAATTTAGATAAATTAACATATTTCAGCTATTCATCTTATAGATAAAATGTAACCAATACAATGATAAAATGTTATATAAAATTATTGTTTGCGCTGAACTGCGGTGGATTGAGATAAAATCTTGGGCTGCTCTTCTTCTATTTTTACTGTTCCCAAGTTCCTCTTCTTCTTAGTCCGTCGTTTTCCTACGAAGGTTGGCCATCCAATTGGCTATAATGATGTGTGATACTACATCTCTGAATATTTCAATAGATCTTTGAATCATGAGTTTTGTTGTCTTCCCACGGACCTTTTTCCATCGATTTTTCTTTCAAAAAGGAGTCAGAGGATTTCGAACTGCTGCCCCTCATATACTAAAGTTTCCGTTCTTGTTTGGGTACCTCATTTGTTATTTAATCTATCCATGATATGCGTAGAATATCAAAATACAAAGTATATCCAGCTTTGTGCAGGCGATAATAACATTAATATGAGAATATTACTACTATATACAAAATCAAAGCGGATGTATTTCAGGAACAGACCTGCTTTGAAATATTAATTTGCACAATTCATTTTGTCTTATCATCGATACCACTTTTAGATTTATTTGCGAAGTTATTGTTGATAAAAGTATTTATTTATGTTACACCGGTTTCACATGCAGCCTAAAAATTATTTGAATTTAGATGATCGACGTTTTGTTATTCTTTATTGTACTGCACGTTTTCGAACGAATTTTGAAAGTTGTAGATTTAGATTGGACTGGTGTATTTGAAATTATTGATTGGGTCGGGAGTAGGTTGTGTTGTTTGGGCTTAGATAATATTAGGTTTGGGTATAGAATTGAATTCAATGGGATGGCGTAGGTTGGCGGCTTCAAACCTTTACTTGAATTAGATTTAGTTGTGATTAGGCTAAGGATTAGACGAATATTAAAATAAAGCGTTAGATTATATAAGGTTGTTTAGAGATAAGGTATGTTAGAATTTATCGATAGCTTTGCTTGGGTTTTGAACATATCAGTTTTACGTGAGGTTAGAGTTGGGATGAGATAAAATGAGATAGAATAATTAATGGAGTTTTCAAAATTATTAAATGGGTTTCAAATTTGGCCAGGTCCTCGTCTGATTTAAACTGTCTTGTTCAAATCAGGTCTTACATTGTTATGCAACAATCTGATTCATTTCGGCAATCTTCGTTTCTGTTGAATGGCTTGCTTGGTGTAATTTTTCGACAGTTTGACAATAAATATCGCTGTTGATTATTGTTTTCAAACTTGGAGTGAGTTGAGTTTCGATCAGAACTAACAATGTATGGTTGTCACTGTATACATTGTACTGAATCTAAGGCAATAACAATAGCCTATGTAGTAAGTACATATGGGCATCTAAACTGCGTGCAAGTTGCAACCTTACTGCGACATAGTATTGCGTCTTTCTCATCAAAGGTTTTTATGCGGATATTTGTTTCTCTCTAACAGCCTAATTTCGGCAAACTAACGTTTCACTGTTTAGATTTTTATACATAGGTCCGAATTTTCGCAAAAATGTTAAGTTATTAGGTTAGTTTTCACTCGGCTTTCCTATAAAATACCTAATCTCAAGATAGTACATAGCCGAAAAACGGAACTTTACACGTAGCAAAAATGTTTACAAGAATAGCTTACCATACCATCACGTCAAATACACCATATAATACAGATTCTCTCCTAAATCTATTAGACTACAATGAAATAGATAGTTAAGAGATTTTGAAGAGGGAGTTCGTAATGATCATTATAAGGATTAGAAAAGACAATTATCCCTACGGTACGTTTTCTTACACTCCTTGGTGAAAACTCGCTCCTTACTCCTACCGAAAAGTGGATCAATTCAGCTTTTGCCGCTTTGTTCCACGAGAGATTTCTATCCTCCCGGACTAGTTACGAGATTTGTGTTATTCTTTGGCAGATACCCCAGTTAAACTCCCTGTCTGGCAGTGTCCTCGTCGACAGTGATCGATGCGAATTTCCCGGGAAGGAAGCTCGATCTAAATCCACTTTACGCGGTTGGCTGAAGAATACCGTAGTAGTCGCCACGTAGATGGACGACGTCGTGATTTTTCGGTCTCCCATATATACTACAACTCTCATGTCTCTTTATAAAGCCATGTTACAATCAAGGTCAATAGGCAAATCAACCGTGTTCCTTCCTATATGGAGAAATGTGTTGTACAATACGTTTTAATTTTTATTTTCTTTCCACAATGAGTACTTTCGAAAATTTAATTTGATGGAATGAAAGCCATTGAATTAGCAACACAGAACAC